CCCCAAAACCCCAAAACCCCAAAACCCCGCAACTTATTTATCATTCAATTTGTAATGAATGAATAAATATTGAATCTTAAGAAATAAATTTAAAATATGTCAGGACAAGACGCTCACGACAACTAGCCTTACGATTCGGATAATGATTTCGAAAAGCCTAAGGATGGTAAGTTGCCTTCAAGATGCATTAATATCTACTCTTTTTCCAAATGACTTACACCTATCTAGATTTCATGTTCTATTACAATGCCTTCAAGATTGAAGAGAAAAAGATTTGCAGTCATTTGAAAATGGAGGAAATAACTACTAAGTATTGGCAACTGCTCAAGTCTGAAAACGGTGTTGACTACACTAACTCAGGCATAACTAGTGCTCAGTATACAGAGGTATGATAAATGGGTGTTAATTCCACTAAAGTTAATGAAAAGAATATACAAGGCACTTTTACCGTTATATCGAGAAGATGAGATGAAGCTCGAGATACAAGAAGAATGGCTTGTTGACTCCAGGGGTCTAAATTAACTATCCTTCCAGCTCTTGACTAAGTTACTCTTTAGAATAGCTCATTAATGGTGCACCAACATTGATGTAGAGGAGTATGCAGACTTCCTCCAGAAAATTCTAGATAGAATCACATACTACGAGGAATACAATAGCTATCAAGTTTCCGGAGGTTACTTGGTAAGATTAACAAAATTTTAGATGATGGAAAATTAATGAATGTTTATAGTCAATTACCAATGCTGAAATAGTGGTTTCTTTTCCTTAGATGGAAAAGAAAATATAAGAAAATGGAGGGAAAACAGAAAAAGTGGTCGAAAATGATGACTGGCTAGAGTGCAGATCTGATGAATCTAACAGAAGCGAATTCGAATACAAATACGAGTAGGATGAGGAGAATATGCAAATGAAAAAATACAAGAAAACCAAAGGAAACGGCGATCCATCCTTAGGAGGCGGCAGTGGTTCTCTCAGCTCTGCTATTAAAGAACCTATCATTTACTCAGAGGAAGTAGATTTCAAATTTTAACCTGACAGAGCCTATGTCCCAAAGCTATTACAAATTAGCAATATTTTACCTTTTGGCTATTACACTGAATACTATTTGACCAAAATGAAAGAGTCAATTATAAGTGCTTTGGACGCATCTAGATAAGAACGTCTAGCAAACTAAAAAGGCTTGCCCAGAGAACAGAGGGATAATTAGAATATGTATATGGGAATAGCTGATACTGGATTAAAGGAGGAAAATGGAAACTATTTCAATGATTACACTTACATCGAAAATGTAATTGCCAAGGTTTATTTATCAGACATCGCCTTTAACAATCTGAGAAAAATGTTAAGAGAGGGTGTTATATTTAGTCTCAGATTGCACAATCTATTCCCAAAAGGAACAACTAGATCTAAATCAAGAGCAGGTTTGAGCAGCAACGAGCCAATTCTTGAAATTAATAAATTCGGTTTCAATCCAGCGCTTGAAAGAAGAATCCATTTAAAAATGGAAGTTACTGATAACTCAAAAGCTTTCTATAATACTAACTATCACTTGGACAAGGATGATTTCAAGGACTTCTACAGAAAGGATATTCAAAAGATTGAGACTAAAGATAAGCTCTGCCTCAAAGAAAATGATGATATTAGAAAGGAGGAGGAATTCAACTGTGTGGAAACCCCCTACAAAAAACTCAGACAAATAATGCTCTACAAAAAATTTGAAAGCATTTACATTGACAGATCAAACGCTGATAACAAAGAGCAGAAGAGACTTAAGAAGCTTATTGAAAAGGAGGATAAGCGCAAGGCTAATGCACTTAAGCATGGAAATATTGCCTAGAAAGGTCTAAGTGAGACCTACGAAGAGAAATCATTTATCAAGATGATGAAAGGACCTTTCTATCAGTTGGATAGCAAGGATGGTCTTTTGAATGATGATTTTGTCACATGCTCAGAGAAGGATTTGATTGATGCCGCTAGAAATCCAGCAATGAGAATTCTAGTTATTGGAAAACCAAGATCGGGCAAAACGAACCTCTGCATGAATCTGGCTAAAAAACTTGACTTAGTTCATATAAGCATTGACAACTGGATTACAGCTTTGCTCGCTAAAATAAAGGCTTACGAGCCACCTGAACTTGAAGAGGGTCAAGAAGCACCTAAGTGGCTATCTGACCTTGAAGAAAACATCCATCTATCTCTAATTTAAGGAGGAGGGCCTTCAGACGAGCATCAAGTGGAGATTATTAGAGAATTAATCAGGTCACCATTAGCAGTTCTGAAAGGCTATCTACTAGATCTCTCTTATTACAACAGAGAAAACACTTGGGCTAGTACAATTAGACAGAGACACATTCTAGGTGAGCCAAATGAACTTGGCCAGACTGTAGATTTTACTCACATTGTTGAGTTATGGTGTGAAGATGAAGACATCAAGCTTAGAGCTGACCATATGAGAATCAGTCCTGAGGATGGCGTGGTTTATTCCAAATGGGAAAGAGATGAAAGAAGGAAACCCAAGAAAGTCACTGAGGATGAGGATCCTATAGAAGAGGAGAATGAAATTAAGCCACTGGATGAAGCTGCATTAGTACAAAGGTCATGCGACACTGATGAGAGAATTAAAGAAGAATTGCACTACTACAATACAGTCGAGAGACCAGCAATGGAGGAGTTGCTTATTAACTTCTATGAGAATTAGTACATCAAGCTCGACAGTGGAGGACTTACACCTGATGAGCTAGTTGAATGTGTCTCAAGCAGAGTAAAGCCTGATGACTAACTTCCTTTGAGACCAATAGCTACAAAGATAGAAAACGCTGGAGACTTCAAAGCCTTACTAACTGATGGTGTTGAGCCAGGCCAAGTAAACCCCAAGTGGAGTCTTTGGAGAAAGACTGATCCAGTAGCTCTTTCTTAAGGAAAGGTTATTGAAGGAACAACTGAGTTCGCTGCTAACTATCATGGAAATGTATTTGTGTTTTCATCAGAGGAAAACTTGGTTAAATTCTTGGCTGAGCCCAAGAAGTATCTCTAAGATAGACCAGTAATGCCAAGCAATTTCAGAGCTTTAATGCTTGGACCTAAAGGTGTTGGTAAACACACCTAAGCTTAATTATTAAATGAGACCTATGGTTGGACAATAATTGATTACAAAGAACTAGTAAGGAACAAGCTAGATGAATTGATGAAGTTTGAGATTCATATTCCAAACAACCCTGTCCAAGGTGGAAGAATTGGTCTTTCTGAACAAGAACTGCAAGATATCATTGAGGGCAAATAGATGCCAGCCTGGAAGTTCATCCCTTGGATCTTTGATTACCTTGGATATGCCCTTGAAAAGAGAAAGCCACCTCCTCCAGAAGAAAAATAAGAGGAGCAACAAGAAGAGGAAGAGTAGCCTCAACTGTCAGAGGCTGAGATGAAAAAGAAAATGATTGAGGAAAAGAAGAAGCGCGAAGAAGAGGAACGCAAAAAGAGAGAAGAGGAGGAACTTCTCAAATACAAGGAAGATAGAAGGAGACGCAGGCAAGAAGCTCTAGATGCTGGCTAAGACCCACTATCTCTAGGAATTGAGGAAAGCGAAGAAGAACCCATCATCATTGAAGATCTCAGTATTGATCAATTAGTTCTCAAGGAAGATGAAGCTTCAGGAAAGCTGCCATTCGTTGGAGGATTCATTTTAATTGGCTATCCTGAGACTGAAGAACACATCAATAAACTCAAGGCTCATGGAATTGAATTCGATAGAATAATATGTCTTAATGACACCAATGAGGAAGAACCAGGAGTCGAGATTAAAAAGAGGATGAAGGATCAAGACTTGTTCGACTGGGATTGGGAATTAGAAAACTCTACTAAAATACTTGCTCTAGCTAAGGAGCATCTAGGCGAAGATACAGTTAAGGAAATTTCTTGCAATGGTAAAGTAGAAGATGTCTTCATTAGAATCAGAAATGAGATAGATCCATTCTTTGTAAAGGTTGATGTCCCAGAGGATGTCAGAGTGTCAGGTGATTTAGGGGAAGAAGACAAAAAGCTGCCCAAGGGTGATTTTGGTGATTACTGCCCAGTAACATATGTAAAAGACAACTGGATTGTAAGAGGAAATCCAGAGTAAGAAGTTACTGTATTTGGGAAAACATACTGGCTATCAGGAGAAAAGGAAGCTGAGTTGTTTAAATTCAACCCAAAGCAATTCCTAGTCACACAATATGGAAACTCTCAATTACCTTTGACTCCACCACCCCCTAGAATTATGATTATGGGTCATAGAGGAGCAGGCACATCTACTCAGATAAGGATGCTCTGTGAGAAGTTTAAACTAGAAGAGTTTGAGCTAAAGAAAAATTATGTCTAAAAGCTGGAAGAGGAAAAAGAAAAAAGAAAGAGAAGAAGATTACTAGATAGGGGATTCGGCAAGCCATCTGAGCCCGATGAAGACGGCAATATTCCTCCTGATCCAGAGATCGAAGAAGACGCTGATGATTTTGATCACGCTGCACAAGAAAGAGAAGTTATGAAATTGATTTTCGATAACTCTAAAGGCTATGTCATCGATGGATGCTGGAGAGATCTGCCTGAAAGCAAAAGCGATTAGAAGTTCCATGAATTACTGTTTGAATCAAGAAGAGTTCCTGAAATTGTGATTATTCTGAAGTGTAAAGAAAAGGCAACATTCGATAGAATTATTGATAGAGAAGCAATAAGAGCAGTATTCAATCAGAAGATGGAGGCAAGAGATAATGAGCGCAAGAAAGTAAGAGAAGAGGAAAGAAAAACTTACTATGAGGAGATCACTAAGGTAAATGAAGATGAGGAGGCTAAATAACAATCTGAAATTGATGAACTCCTGAATACCTGGGATGAGGCGAGAGACTAAGCTGAAAAAGATCAAGATGAAAATGATCCCGAAATGCCAAACTATGATGCTATGGAGGGTGAATATAGAGAGAAGCTAACTGAGCAGAGAGGAAATGATGACGGCTTTTTCGAAGAATTCAGTGGAGCTCTGAAAGAAAAAAATGTTTATGTCATTGATGATATCAAGAGCGACATGAGTGCTGAGTTTGTAAACATTAAACTCCTTGATAAAATTAAGCACAACTTCCTGAACAGAAATGACATCATCGAAAGACAATTAGCTTAGCCATTAAAGCCAGAGGAGGTTAAATTTTTTGAGTAATCTCACATTTACAAGCACTCTAAATTCGGACTAAATTCCCCTCTAGATATCTAAAACCCTTCAAAATCAAAGAAATTCACTGCTCTATACAGAGAGAGACTTTATTTCTTATCAAATGAAGATCAAAGGCAAAAGTTCCTCTTAGAGCCATCTAAATATGCTCTTAATGTTGAAACTGTGCCTCTAGATATTAATGTCAAGCCAAGAATATTTATCCTGGGATATCCTAAATCTGGCAAGACCACACTTTGCCAAAAACTACAGGAAAAATGTGGTATAGTTCACTTGAAAATTCCTCAGATTGTTGATTAATTCATTGAGAGGGATTCTTTCTAATTCCAAAGTTTGAGGAAGTAAATGAAATTAGAAGGCAGGTAGCTGGAAGATGACCAACTAGTCAACCTTCTCCTTAAGAGAATCTAGTATAAAGATTGCCAATAAAACGGGTGGATCCTAGAGGACTTCCCTAAAACTAGAAATCAAGCCTTATTCCTAGCCAAGAGAGGCATTGTACCTACAAATGTTGTTGTCATGAGAATAAATGAATAAGCCATATTCGAGAGATCTTAAGACACAAGAGTATAGAAATTCGGACACTTTGGAGAGATTTTGCAAGCAAGAATTAAGATGTTCGAGTCAAATATTCCCAATGTCATATCTTTCTACTAGAAAATATACAACAATGTGGTAGATATCGATGCTACTCGCTCGAAATGGTACATTGAGGACAGAGCAGTTTCAGAAATTTCTAAGAATCTCCAATCTAGATAGCAGTTCGCAAAGGATTATTATCTAAGAGAGAGGGATCCTAGAGCATGCAAGATTAGAAATCTGTATGTTGATAGAGTGCTTCTTAAGCAAAGTTTATCTGAATTCAAATATTACTGCCCAGTCACATGGAAGAATGAAAAACTACTAGTAAAGTGCAGTGCTAACAAGGAGGACTGTGTCTTGTACAAGAACGCATTCTATTACTTCAAGGGTACTCAGCAAAGAGATATGTTCATTTCAAATCCAGCTAGGTTCATCCTTAATGTTACATTACCAAAGCATCAAGATTTACCTCTAAGAATCTTATATCACAAGGCAGCGGAAATTCTTGTTCATGAGAAAACTTTGAGTGGTCACTGTCCAATTACTCTAATGGATGAGGAGAGAGTCAAAAAGGGAGACCCACTTTTACTGATTCTATTCAGAGACAATAAATATGTATTTGACTCAGAGTATAAGCTATAAAGATTCCTAGCAAATCCATTCAAATATGCAAAAGCTACTCTCCCTGTTAAGATGCCACCACCTGAGGATAAAATTTCACTCTTTAACCTACAGAAGATGGAAGACTCTATTGCTTTCATGGAACAATCTCTAGGTCAAGTAGCGACAAGAGGTCTAAGAGAAGTATCAGAAAACAGGCTAAAGCATCCAGGTATGTCAGTGAAAGAGACAATGCTAAAACTTTTCTCACTTTTCTTAAAGACTGAAAACCCAGCTAATACATCATACATGAAAAAGAAGTACCAAGGAAAGATGAGAGAATTCATTCAGAGATGTGAGTTGCCTGAGGAGTTATTTGATCTTGGAAATGAAAAAGGTAAGATTTACTTTAATTTATTAACATCCCTTATAGAGAAAAAGAAGGCAAGAGGTGAATGGGTGCAGTTCAAAGAAAACTATTACAATGAAAGGGGTTCACTTTATGATAGCAACCAGAAAGCAATAGAACAGGAGAAACTAGATAACTTCATGAACTACCTCAGATGAGCAATTACTATTCACTCATGAGATCATTTTAAGCCTACTCTATGAAAGGATCAGCTCATTCACATTTTAACTGGCTACTATTTAAGCTCATAGATATAATAATTTAATCATTAATTCCTTATTCCAAGATTTATTAGCTTGATGGGGTTTTGGGGTTTTGGGGGGATTTAATAATTTCAAATTTTTACTCTACCAGTA